GCCATGCGAACGCCATTATTGGGAAGCTGATTTGATCACCGTACGTAGCACGGTCCACTCCTACTATATACCACCCATGGAAGATTCCAGAGCATTCGGGAGAAATCCAGAAAGAGCGCGAATTGAGTGTTAAGGAACTTTCCTTCCAACCTAATACAATAAATTAAAAGCGAAAAGTACCTATGTATGTAGAGATTGGATTTGTTTCTTGTTTCTAATGAAATTTTTTGTAACGAAAATTAATTTTCATTTTTTGATTTGCAACTAGTATACTTGTGACTTCATATTAATAGAGCTATTAGCTTTGAAGCCACAATTCTAAATGCTCTGCCACGGAAACAGGTGGTTGGGGAAGGACCTTGGCTCAGCTAGTGGGTGGTGCATTATGGTTGTCCGTCGGGGATACGGTCGGGTGTTGTCCTCTCAGCGCGCAACGCGCCGTGCTTTTGTAGCTTTATTGAAATCAAGTGCCCAACAATTGATTTGTAACTGCAGTTGAAGTTCGGAGCACCCCAAGTTGCAAAGCGATTTGAGCTAGTACATACAAATTTCTTACATCGATCGACTAAGCCTCCAACAGCCGACGTAAGCACCAGCCCTTCTGGCGCACTCGGCTGGGACCGTATGCTGAATGTTGGGGAGGGGATGGAGTCCCCGACGGTGGACGGACCACTTCAACTCGGTCCTTAGAACCGCCACAATTTGGTGCTTACCTCAGAACTAAGCCTTAAAGAGAGGACGGGTCCGTCCCCTCTCCAAGCTTAGTCCTGGGGTGAGCAAACCAGCCCTTCTGGCGGAGCTGCTGGACCAGCTGCGTCAGTACTCTCCTATCGTACCAACCGAGTTGAAGTAAACCGTCGACCGTTGGGGACCCCATCCCCTCCCCAACATTCAGCATACGGTCCCAGCCGAAACGCCAAAAGGGCTGGTTTGCTTACCTCCCAACAGCCTGCCGGCCTGTCCTGGAACTAAATTGCTGTCTTCGGATCGAGATTACCATTTTTAAGCACGCAGCTCCCTTTTAGCAATGAAGCTTCTCCTATGCGCCGATGTTACTTTCACACCTGCACAATAATTTGGGCCTTGATTACTATAGTTCAAAAGGAGAACGTTTTGGAGGTTTTTGTTTCTGTAGATTTGAGGTCTTATTTTTGGCAGCATTCGTAAAGTAACGGTAAACAAGCGTGCTGCAATATACTCAAAGTTCGATAGACTATAACAATGCAACTGATAGTACATGGTATAATATTAACCTGAAACCTTGAATGACCGAATCAGATGAATCGAAATGGGCGATTGTGTAAACGCGAGCGTTCGACAAGAGATCGAGTTACAGAGCTCTATAGTGACGTTACGAGACCAGCATCTGCTACAAACGCTTGGACCCCCAAGAGTAATGCTGTTTTAAACTAGAAGCGATAGTCCGCAAATACTCTAACGAAATCTCTGCTAGGAAATTCACCTCTGTTTCACTAAGTGATTGATTAATCATCTAATTATTTAATCAATGAGCTACTAAAACAACTTGGAAGAAGGTTTCCGATTATTTGGGAGAATAGACCTCAAGTGTTTACTGGGAAATGTAGAGGCGATAAAGACTTTGGCAACGTTCATCTATTCAAAACTCCATCTGCCTCAGCAAGTTCCTCAGTTAATGCGCCGTTGATCATTGATCACTGTGTAAAATAAGCAATTGACCATTAGCTTGAAAGCATATAAGTACGGAAATGAGAACGACATCTTCTGTTTCTCATTCAATTGCTACACCGATGTCAAATCGAGGAGCTTACATTCCCAATCTATTTACTTATTTATTTGTTTGTTTATCTATGCGTTCAATGACGCACCAGCTATAACCAGGTGATGCTGGAAACTAACCGCAATGACGCAAAGAAAATGACAAATTATAATATGTAGGTACTGTAAGTATTACAGTAACCTCCATTAAAATCGTTGTAGGTTAGCAAATCTTAAAAACAAAATGGAGCTAATTAACAAAAAAAATGAAAAAAATGCTTTTCAATGCTTTTAAATGCTTTTCAATGCTAAGAAGTGATTACACTGGGAACAACGAAAGGCAGTGGAGGCGGGTCTCAGGATACGTCAGAATGGGCAGTTAGAGAAATTGAGAGCTGAATTCCAAGTGTTAACTCAAACGAAATGTATCATGAAAACAATCTCTGGATTGAATGGGCTCATTTTGATCTGTGTTTATGTGAAAATAAATTGCACACAACTGCGAATGCTGCCTGCTGAGCAACTCGATAAGCACTACCAATTAGAACGAAACGAGCGGTTTACGAGTGGCCGTTCACACGCAATTAACCTCTGCAAGGAGCAGATTGAATGGGGAAACGGAGCGGCTAAATAACAAAAAAAAGGGAAAAAGAAATGCTATACGAAGTTATTACCACCACGCGAAGTATCTATTTAGAGAATATACCAGTATTCCTTGCGCACTGTGGAGAATAAGGTGAGAGTATAAGCCCTTTACACTGAATTTTTTCCTGTTCATAGATCACGTTTTTTACCATCTTGTAATAACCTCTGGGTACCACCACCAAACACCATAAGGCCGATGTCAGACTTTGCGAATCGAGCGATTCGCTAGCATCCGCGTTCATGTCGCATACAGCAAAAGGCTCGAGCCGCTGTATCGCTAAATTCACAATGTCTGACATCGGCCCAAAGCGTGGCTATCCAGAAATAACATCCATTTGAGAGCCCTCCAAAAATACAGTGTTTAAGGAAAATGGAAAATTTTTTAATCACTTGACGACATCACATGCGTCCTGTAGGAGAAACTCTCAGAGTTTCCTTATGATGGAGATGAGCGGAACTGAAATGGTGAGACTAAAGCGGAGAGATGGTTCCAATGTGGCAGGAATCCGAAACACGACCGTAAAGATTCGATATTGGTGATTCTGTTAGATTTCTATAGTGTTTATAAACACGAAATGAAAGCAATTAAAATCGGGGCTGTCTCCCGGTTGTGCTCAGACTTCCTTAATTTTACAGGCAATGAACATTTTAGTGAGCATGTTTCAAAAGAAAGCAGAAGTTTTCCGAGTAATGAACAAGACTATTGATGAAGATCAAAAATCGGCATAATTATGTATTTTTGTAAAGGCTTCACTTTCAGTTTAACAAACACAGGAGCTACTAAAAGATCGCGTTCACTTGAACGGTTTAAACTTCAAGGAATTCGCACTAGGAAAATGATTGAGGTTTCAAATATGAAAAGCAGAGTGATGCTCGGATCCATGCGAGCGTAAGGGTGACGAACTAATCCGAAACTGTGTAATATAAATGAATAAATAAACAAATAAATAAATAAGACCCCAGCACGAATGCCACAACTAAGGATCTCCTTCTGAAGGTTGAAAAGATACACTCAGTAAAAAAGTTGCAGTTATAAGGGTGTCAGGTAAAAGGAAGGGTCCGATCATTCTGTTTTTGAAGACCAAGACAAACAGATCAAAACTACATAAAAAATAAAAGTAAGTAACAATGTCGTGGAATAAGTCTTCGGTTCGTCAATGGGCGACAATCGCTAGATGGAGTCACACCTGGCTCCGTAAACTTTGGTCTCATCGGCTTTCGCCGAGTGGGGAGATCGATGAGGCGTTGGAGGACCTCAGAGTATCTATTTGATTAGTCAGTGCACGTCCAGGCTAATATGGTTTCACATTTTAACAGTTTTCAAGAAGCTATCAAGTCAATCAAAAATTTTCTGCGCTTTTTAATAGCCAACTTCACGTTGCCCAAACAAATCAAATCACTGAAGTCGGAATGAAGTTCAGTACAATGTAATGAAAAAATAAATAAATAAATATGTTTGTTTTTGAGCACAAGGAAAGTTGGATCCGCTCGTTCACTTACAAGGAATGGTCAGGGTGTGCCAAGCTTTTTCAAAATGGTTTTGCATGATATAGGGGCACATGCGGGAACCACAGAACCATGGTTAATTTTTCCTGAACGGCCCTCTGAATACCAGAAAAGGGGGTCCCTAGTCACACCTTTTTCACCAGTTTTTCAATCAAAGTCTATTTGTAAGGGTTACTGACGGTCCTAATCATGAATATGGTACTAATTATTCATGCTAACTCCATTTTGCGCGAATTTTGAAACGTCAACTCGAAATGCAAAAATTTGTCACCACGAGGAATCGAACTAGGGACCCCTTTTCTGGTATTCAGAGGGCCGTTCAGGAAAAATTAACCATGGTTCTGTGGTTCCCGCATGTGCCCCTATATCATGCAAAAGACCGTTTTGAAAAAGCTTGGCACACCCTGAACGACCTCCCTTGTTAGCGCAGGTGAACCTAGGGGATGGACCCATCGAAAGCAATTTCAACGGCGTGCTGGTTCTCAATACCTTCGCCCGAAGAAGCTATCCGGATGGCTTAGGGTTTCATAGAACAGTTGGTTTGTCTTGCACAAGAGAGAATATGCATTGTGCGGCTGCGACCCTACGAAGAAAAGAGTCGGTTCCTTGATGACGGCCAGTTCTGGGCACATGTGTTAAACTTTTGATGCATTATGACACCTTGTTGAGAATACTCCTCCAGATTGTCCATAGAATCAAACTGAGAGGAAACGCGACGGCCAGCAACAGCATAACAGTGACCGTTGACTTCCCTCTGTACAGTTTCACCTCTAGGAAGTTTCATGAAGGTTGATCATCCTGCGGAGCATCCGGTTTTTGCAAAGAATCCATTCTACGGCACAAGTATGTAGCAGTTCAATAAAGTCATTGCGTGGAAAACTGCTGCAGGTGAAGCTCCAACACGGCGTTATTTTTTTTTCGTAAAACCTATTTGTCGCCTTTTTTTGTCGTTCCGACTTTACTCGGGCAGCTATAAACCACACATAAATTACAGATAATTTAACAATGATTTTTTAAAATTTGTTTCATGTATGTATTTATTTGTTTATCATGCGCTTAAACTGCGCCATCGATTAACAGTATTAGTATAACAAAAAGAAACGAGTAATACCCTAAATCAATAGCTGGTTAATTATTAATTGATTAACTAATTGATAATAATTAGGAAATCGTGCTTAATTGGAAATTGATTAAATCAGAGACGCGAGTACGATGCTCGAGCTTGCTTGTCAATAAACTCCCCACAAGGGAACTATCCGCTAAGGTAACTGGAACCCTAAGGCTGGTGTCAGAGTCCGCGATCCGCACGAATCGCGCGACCGATCGCGGAATCTGACACTAGCCTTATGTTGCTGCAGTAACTCATCAGCTATGATACTAGCTATCTGTCATTGACTGCTCTAATAAATGGGCTTCTAGAAGCAATCACTTGAGCACCGTCCTACTCCACATGAGAAAATACTCAGCAACTGCAAATGTGCCATTTCGGGGAGAAGTCTTCGATAAATTCGTTCCCAACTTTGGTGACCACATAATGAAGAAAATGATCGATCTTCTTTCATTAGAGCATTTTCTACCGTGATCGTGACTTCAACTAGGTCTTTCTCCATTGCCTACCTCCCCTCATCTTTGAGGCTCCTCGTGATCGCTTCTCCTGGACCACACATCCAGAGCCTTGTGATCCTGTTGCCTTCTTAGCACATGCCCATACCATCTCGCAGTCGCTGTTCCCGTACCTTCAGCTGGACAGGGGCAGTCTGCATGACCGCTCTGACATCCTCGTTTCTGACCCTGTCCAGTCGCGTCCAGCCGCAGGCCCATCTCAGCATCCTCATTTCAGTAGAGTGAAGCTTCCTTTCTGGGTTCTTATTCAGAGGCCGGTGCTTCCATTATCGTTTGAGACCCACGTTTGGTGCAACATCCACCGCTGGATTTTTGTCACGTTTCTTACTATTGTCATCTTTGAGAGGGGTGAGGCAATGTCTGCAAGGAGTGGGCATGTGCAGCATACCCTATTCTTCGCCAGGGGGTGCCTTGATCACAGTTCTGAAGGATCTTCTTACAAGAACGTAGTCGATTTATACTTGCTTCCCTCCACTACCGTATGTCACTTTCTGAGTCTCCTTCTTCACAAAAATCATGTTACCGCCAGATCGGAGGCTATGGCTTGGTTTGAAATCTATCCTCTCTTCCCCTTTCTTGATTATCCAAGGTCAAACGAGGTGTTGAAAAAAATTGAACTGCGATTCACGCCTCTCAATTCACTCCCTTACCATTAGTAAGATTCCATGTACAACTCGTTTCTGAGTACAGACAGCCTATGAAGAAGTTGATTGCTCTTGCAACGTGTCCGTTGAATTTGGAGCAGCCCGCTTACTTGGAAAGAAGTTGAAACCTTCCTTAAGGTTAGGCGAGCTTCCATTCCATTTCACCCATGAATCACTGGCTTGAGACTCATCATCCGCGGTTAAAACGAAAAGAACAGAAAAATTGCTTTGTTTTGCAAAAAAAAAATTCGAAAGACCGGAGGGCTGCAACCAGGGTCAAACCTGCGTTGCGCAGATCTCAACGGCCACGTTGCGCAGCGCCCGATTAGACACGTTCTCTCGCGCGAACATTCACACTCGCATGCTCGAGCCGTCTGCGTCTCCGCCCATACAGCGTGCGTTGAGGATCTCTCAACGTGCCGTTGCGAACTGCGCAACGCAGGGTTGACTCTGCTGGCCAACCTCCTTCCAA